GCTAACTTCTGCATTGTACCCTCCCAAACCATTTTTAACTTAGAAACAAGTAACATTATGGTGTATTGTTTTTTGTATCTCATTCTGCTATAAAAAAAATCATAGAATAGAAATGTAAGTATAAAGTGAAAATATGTATTATGTTTTTGTAAATGATATTGATATGGATTTTTTTCTGTACTATTTGTTTATTATAATAGTATAATATTATTTTTCAGTTTGTGAACATCGCCTTAAATGCACAAAAACATGTGTTAAAGAAGTTTCTTATCCACTTTTGTGCCAAATTGATATGTTTACTTTCTCTATTTTATAACTCATTATGTGTATATCGTCAATTCATCTTCATCATTATCGCGAACTTCTGCATTGTACCCTCCCAAACCATTTTTAACTTAGAAACAAGTAACATTACAGTGTATATTGTTTTGTTGTATCTCATTCTATTATAAAAAGTGTAGAATATAAATGTACTTGCAAAGTGTATAAATATGTATTATGTTTTTGTAATAATAATGATATGAGTCTATTTTCTATACTATTTGTTTATTATATATAGTATAATATAATCTATCAGTGAACGCCACGTCAAATGCATTGGTTCCAAATTGATATGTTTACTTTCTCTATTTTACAAATATTGTCAATTCACCCCAAACCAATTTGCGGAAGAAAAAAAAATGTTTTGCCTACTTAAGGGGAACAAAAAAAGAGGGAAAGTAAACAAATGAAATGGCTTTTGATTTGTGTTAATACTAGTATTGTGGCCCATGTTTTTGCATATACAAATATTGTTTAATGATATTTCAATATAAATAGGAGCTGAACATTTGGATGACTAGATCAAATTTGATTTTTTGTATCCTTTCTAACAAAGAAAAATCAAAGAATGAAAGGAAGACAATGTACAAAGAGATTTAGATATGATCAAAAAGTACATGAAAGAGATTAAAATTAGAGATAAGCAACCAAATGTGAGAAACTTGGTTTGAGAATAATTTCTTGATGGGTGATCATACCCTAATATTTTTCTGTACTATTTTGGAAGAAAATCAATGAATATAAATATATATCACACAATTCAGTAGAACATAGTAATAAATAATATTTACTTTAGAGAAAAGAAACATCTTTTTCAGGCAACCGTGATATCTCTGTGGAACCAACAATATTCATCTATCAAACAAATTAAGAAAATATTATGAAACTTTCTAGCGATTTGTTTACTCACTTTAAGAAGTAACATGATCTTTGTTCGAAGGTTTTCAAAAGTAATATAGTATTGGTTATTTATATAGTTTCACAAGATTGTGTAAATAGTGGAGAAGGGAAATCGTTGTGGAAGTCGTGTAATAAAGATTAGTTGTGGTAGATTTTTGTAAAACAGTTACTTTAAATAATAACATAGAAAAAAAAATTAAAACAGAAACCTTTTTCAAAAATAAAATAAAAATTAAAACAGAAATTAAGAAGAAAATTCAATAACTCAGATTATTCATAGCATTTCTAATCCAAAACCTTAATTTAAAGAGAATAAAATCTCGAAATGAGGATTTAAGATTTGATTATTCCAATCTTAAATCCTTAAAAATTTATTCATTTGCGTTATAATAGTTGATATTAACAAAAATTACTAACAAGGATAAAAATTCATAAATACATATAGAACATACTTTTAATATATTATACAACACATGATATTACACTATTATATAATAAAAATAATAGAAATTTCATATATAACAAAACAACACAACACATATACACATAAATTTTAGGAAATTACATATAAAATACTAAATTTATATTAAAATACCAAATTGTATGGAAAATTAAATATAAAATACCAAACTTTAAGAAAACAACAACATACACACAAATGTAAACTTTATTTAATGTATTTTTCTCTTTCTGTGAGTTTGATTTTAATGTTATGTAATATTTATTCTATTTTATCTTATTTTAGTTTATTTAAATTATTGTAAATAAAGTTAATAGATGTGTGTGAAATAAAATAATTATAATATATAAAAAGAAAATAAATAGTATTTTTGAGGTTTTAAATTTGAAGTTTCATTATTCAAAACACTAAAATTTGAAAATTTAAGATTGGATCCGGGATAGTGTAGATGACTGGTTGAACTGTAGCTGTAAAAAATTTACTGTGGAAATTAGTCTGTAGAATTTTTTGATTTAGCTGTAAAAGTTGTAGCTTTAAAATTTATTGGTACAACATATTTTTTTCCAGCAAAAAAGATGTGACTTTAGAAAATAAAGATTTTACACCATTTTTTTAGTTTTTGGCTGTAACTTTAAAAAATAAGATAAAACATGATTTGTGATTTAAGTGCTGTAGATAAAAATTAAAACTAAAATCAGCATTTATAACCCAACCAATGACCCTCACTCTTGCAGACTGATTATTTAAAGGATATATGACATTGTTGATAAAAACAGTACAGATGACATGCATAAGAAACTTAACACGTTTTCTATAATAAATTTCAAGACAATTAATTATTCCTTTTCGTCTGTGTATATCCAATCTTTTTTTTGTCAACTGAAGATTTCAATCTGTGTATATCCGTTAGGTCACTTTCATAATATTCATTTTTTTTCTTATTTCTATATAGTTTTTAGGAAGAAGTTTGAAAGAGATAAGAAGAAGTAAGAGGATGGGATTTTTTGTTACTTGTAAATTTTGGTTTATTTTTAGGCTACTGGGTGCAATTTATGTTTTATAAACTCTGTACTTTTGACAAGATTGATGATTATATATTATTTTCGTGGACGTGGATGACTGATATAACAGAACTAAATTACAAAAAGCCACACCATATTTACTTTCTTCAGTCACGAATTATGAATAAACTCAATTGTGTACAATTTAGTGGGTTATATTAGATATTGAGTGTTGGATAGAGTTTGGTTTATTATGGTTTACTATTAGATTGAATCTCTGTATATGTATAAACCGGATATCAATACTATATAATGTAAGACGTTAGATCATTAAATGAATAACAGAAAGATATTTCCATTTTGAGCTTCTCCTTCGTTGAGCTCTAGCTTTACTAACAGGTTAAATCAATTTCTTATGATAATCAAAACTTGCATAATCAGAAATCTTAGTTGGTAATACAAATAAACCCACCAAAGTGTACATATATATAGGAAAACCATTATATTTACTTTCATCGGACTTTAATAAGGAATTGAAATGTTTTTTTTTATATAGAGATATATCTAAAATAGAAACTGGAAGAAAACAAAAATTCCAATTGTCAACTCGTCAGCTTGCTGTTTAATTTTTATATCTCAGAAGAACGGTGAATTCGTCGGTGAGGAGATGAGTATGAGGCCAGTAGGAGTAGTATAGGTCCCAATGTTGATGTAATACCGTGAAACGCGGCGAAAAGGATATCAATGGGCCCCATTATAGCCGCTCTCAAGTCACCAACGAATGTTTTTGAATCAATCTATCTATATAAAGAAGCATTCTCTCTTCATTTAAGCTTCCACGTCATCGTTTTTTGAGGAGCAATGTGAGGCTTCCACGTCAACTGTTTTAACAACACGAACATGTTTGTGTCTTTCTTCATCCTTTTCTAATGTCTTTATGTTTGGACTTCTTTCTTCATCCTTTTCTAATGTCAGAATTGATGACATACTGTG